AAACTATGTAAAGAAATTAGAAATTTTTTTGGATCACATAAGAAGTTAATAGGACAGCTAATTTAGGACTCCTGGCTCTTTGTTCTCCAGTCTTGGTCACTTTTTACCATGTATAATGGAGAATAAACTACTATGTTTTGGGGCAGAATTAAGTGCAATTGTTAATTTTTTTAAAGGAAAATTTAAAAAAAGCAGGAACTTTGAAGCATTGCTAGCAGTAGTATTGTTGGATTACTTGCACTAAATAGGATCTGAATTTCATTAAGGCCCACCTAGATGTACTTATCTATTTGCTCTGTAATGAATGCAGTATTGAAGGATGTCCCAGTGCAGCTGGTTATGGTGCAATATAGAATACTGTTGTCTAATACACACTTGTTAAAGGAGATAAAGACATTTATCCTGAATTATTTAGACAAGCTGGTATTGTGTTTTGCTGTCCTTGGTCATACTTGGAGGCTTCTGGCTATTGCAGTGTGGTAACAACATGCCTTTCATTCAGCATGTTGCACGTGCAGTATGTTGGTCACTGGACAGTGCTGCGGAAGTTAAGGCAACGCGCAGTAGCACTCATTTCAGCTGCACAGTTTCTGCTCCCATTGGATGTGATACTAGTGCCCATGACCCTGCTATGCTTCATTCTGCAGAGGTTATCATGAATTTCTTGCCTGTCTGGAAGAATGCCTATTCTTTCTACATGGCCACCTTTCTCACTTCCTTTCTTTCTTCTCAAGATCCTTTCAGAAACAAACACAGCACATTTTTGCCAATATTGAGAGGAATGTAAATAAGCATTTTACTCTTCCATCCATACCTCTCTTTCTTTATCTCTCTTCCTTCATCTCCCTTTTCTCGTTCCATCCCTGGTGCAAGACAAGTGATCAACTTGCCAAGAATTAGTAACTGCTATCCAAGAGCCTGGACTTGCGCCCACTAAGTTGAGGGGAGGGAGTGTAATCTTATCTAAGTCGGTGTATGGGCCTGTTGCCGATAGCCTCTCAAGTATTGCTTGGCTGACTAGATAAAGAGTTAGCTGGTAGAGGAAAAACCTATGTTATTGTTGATGTGATGCAGCTGATTGTTTAGTAGTTGTTGAAAATGTGTTAGTTGTATTCCAAGTGTTCAATTAGAGCGGTAGTACGGTAACTACAGAATTACCTCTCCCAGTGGCTCAGATATTGTGGCAGCGTTCCTGAAAGTCTACCACAGATTTCTGTAAGAGTAGATTGGATCTTAAGTGGTGAATTTGTTTTCATTTTATCTTCATCAGCCACACTAGATAATTCAAAATGCTAAACTGAGAGCTTCACACAGCCAGGTGCACAACCCCGCTTGGGATGTATTTAATGAGAGAAGAGAGAATACTTCCATGAGATTCTGTTGTTTTGTCCAGCTATCAAAATCTTTCAGGGCCTCAGAAAAACTGCTACCGTCCAGAACCTATTTTCAAATGCAGAAGCTAACATTTTGTTTCAAATTGCAGAGACCTGAGAAATGCTGACCAAAGTTTTCAGAGAGGTAGAGCACTTACAGCTTAAAGTAATTTCTCTCTGTGAGATCAAGTGCAGCTGTTTCAAGCCAGATAGTCAAGAAATCAAAGTTTCTGCCATTTATTATGAAAAGCTGTGATCTAAACACCAGAGAGCTTTGAAAAATTCCAGCAAGCTTGTTTGCAGATTTATGTGCCTGACTCCCTTTTTGACTATTTGAACCTAAGATTTATTTGCATATACATCCCATAGGCACTTTCTCCTTTGTGTAATCCATTCTCATGCTGCTTTTTCCAGTCCCTGTTATTTGTGTAGTTGGTTAAAATGCTTCCACTGAACCCTTTCAGCAGTGGAATCAGTGGAAAGTTGTTTAACCTTTCTTCTCTCCCTCCCCTCATCAGTCTCTACAAGTAGAATTTCTCTCTGTATTCTGCCCACTAATATTATTATTTTTCCTATTTCAGACATTTGACGTGAAATAATTGATGTATTTTGATAAAGTTTATTTGCTATCCTCCATTCTTTCTATAGTTTTCTGTATTTTTCATTCAGCTTTTGCTCAGCCCTATGTGGTCAGACATAGCCTTCGGTCCATCTGCACCCCTAGCCTGCACATCAGGTCACTGACTCCTCTTAGCATTGCTGAGCAATTAGTCAGATCCTTTATGCAGCTTTAATGGAGAGTTCCAGTCCTGTCCTTAGTTTGCCAGACACAAGCACGTTAGAAAGAGGTCTGCTTTTTCAATGAAGGTTTATTTCCCATATCTAATACACAGTAGATGAGTCATTTGCACTGTGAAAAACTGCTTTTGGAACCAGAAGCACTCTTTTTGGCTTTGATGTCTTCCTTATGTTTTGGACTTCTGCATTTCTAATGCTGCTTTTTTGACTTGACTCCGATGGAAGTCCCCAGAGGTGAATTTGGTCCTGTGAATGAAAATAGAAACCTGTAGAAACTGCATTTCCGATTCTGGAGCATATATAATTTTAGAAATTAAAAAAGACAGTTGGATGTAAACAGTGGTAGCTTTACATACGGGAGTTGTTGCCTTCAAGTTTGAATTTGATGTCGTGGTTAGAACTGAAATAGGAACTGGTGAAGTGAAACAGTGCTGACTACAGCTGTGTTTTGATATGCATGAGAGCATCCCCTTGAATTATGAAGTGGGGTATTGCCGTGCCATGTAGAGCTACCCTTGGCAGAACAAATTACACAAAGCTGGACTGAAGAGTTTCAGCTGACAGAAGCAATAACATGACGGGGGTTTTGCAAACTGGAGAACAGTTTCTTTTTCTGATGTTCACTCCATAAACAGAAGACAGTGTAAACACACAGCTGTATAGTAAGGTTATAAAACATCCACTTCTCAATAAATTAGGAAGCAAATGTGCAGTTTAGTGTAAGAAGGCAAAAAAAAAAAAAAGGTAGAACATTTATTAGTAAATGCCCTATAGTATTAAGGCCGGTGTTGATTTTTTGACCAGTGCTGTTTATACACATAAATCATTATCACTGAGTGTTGTATTCTGGGTTTTCTGTCTGTAGATACTTTTCATTCATAATACCTGAGATGATTTTTATGTTGTGGGAAAGGATTGTGGAAAATTAAAAAGCTGAGCTCAGAATCTCTAACTTTTCAAATGAGAGCTGTGCTGTTCTGAAACCTTTACAGCACCTCAGTTACATCTGCCTTCAGACAAAGCTGGTGCAGCCCAAGAGCTGTGCAGTCGTTTGCTTGATTAAATGTGCCATCTAGTGGCTAGCGGGTGATACTTAATTTAAAAAAAGAACATAAAGCCAATGGACTTTTTAATGCATTTTTACATCAGCAGGGGAAGTATAGAGGTTGACAAATCCTTATATTGCCTTCTTTTCCCCCCCCTAATTAACAGGCATTCATAGATCATTATTTGTTTCCAAAAATGCCATTGTTTCTACTGTCCGTTGTCCACTCTCTGCTCTCAGGCTGTTTGCTGAGGTCCAGATTGAAATCGTCTGCTATGGCAGGGTATTTGGGCAGAATAATTAGTGCTGTATTCACAAAGCTTCAGAAGTCATATTATAACATCACTGTTACTCCCTGTATCTGAAATGCTGATTCTCAAAAACTTGGTTCAAATGCCTAGAACTGCCCGAATTTTGTAGAATCATAGAATGGTTTGGGTTGGAAGGCACCTTTAGAGGTCATCTAATCCAACCCCCCTGCAATGAGCAGGGACATCTTTAACTAGATCAGGTTGCTCTGGTTCAGCCTGGCCTTGAATGTTTCCACAGATGGGGCCTCCAATACCTCTCTGGGCAACCTGTTCCAGTGTTTCACCACCCTCATTGTAAAAAATATCTTCCTTATACCCAGTCTAAATCTACCCTCTTTTAGTTTAAAACCAGGACCCCTTGTCCTATTGCAGCAGGCCTTACAAAAAGTCTGTCCCCGTCCTTCTTATCAGCCCCTTTAAGTATTAAAAGGTCACAATAAGGTCTCTCACCCCTTGCCGCCCCCAAGTATCCCTGTTGTCCACCTGTTCTTTATGTAACGGCTAAACCTCGTTATTGCTTGTACATAACTGGTAGGCAAATTGGATTTTGTGCAAAAAGTAGCCACCAGAGCTACCCAGAACCTTAGTGGTTAGTGCAGGCACCCAGGATGTTCAAGACCCAGGGTTAAGCCCCTTGGCTGGTTGATTATTTCTACTTTGGATTCCTGTAGGTGCTGAGGTTTCCAATAAATAGGAGTTTATGTTGGGACACTCAGACAAAGCCTTGCCCATTCTTAGAAAACCTGTAAGAGGCTCAGTCCTGCCACGTGTGTGCCATTGTTTCACATGCTACTGAAGTCCCACTTCAATTGAACGGTCTCAGACCATTTCCAGTTCTACATAGCACATCACTTGTGTTGCTTATACCAACAGGGCAAAGACATCCATAGCTGTCTGCACTGAAACAAGCCTATTGGCTTTGAGATTGGGTTTGGGAGAGAGGGCTTCAGATGGGAGAACCTAGGGAGCATTGCATGGCTCTTAGTACAGGTTTGTCTTGTGTAGCACAGGAGAGGTTGCAGCTCACTGTCACAGCCTGGGAATGTGGTTTGAAGAACATGGTACTGCACGTGGGTTGCACAGTAGCATAACAGTCTCCATACAGGCTCTTACCCTGCACTAATATGGGGGCGCCAAACCCCTAATGGAGGCAGTTGTGATGGAAAAGCTTTATTTTAAAAAATGGGATAAAGTATTCTGCCAGCCTTATAAAAGAAGAAATGCACACTGAGGATCTTTGTTTTCTATATGTGATGTTTGAAAAATGAAGTTAAACACTGAAAGCAACATTTTGATGTTGTTTCTCTCTGGAGACACCTGTGTGATTCAGTCCAAGTCACTATTACTCTGAGAACCAATCATCCGTGTGAATCCCATCTAATCAAGTACTTGTCATCTTGATTTATAAAAGGCTTTGTTTAGATTGTTGGCTTAAGGAAAGTGTTATTATTTTTCTGTCCATTTATTTTCTAGGATATTAAACACAACATTGTTTGAACTGTATGAAGCTCTGGGCAATTTTCCTGCCTTGTGGGTCTTCAACGTGCTGCTTGTGATTCTTCAAATTCTGCACTGTTTTTGGTCTTGCCTAATCATAAAGGCAGCCTACAAAGCTGTTTCAAAGGGCAAGGTAAGACAGCACAGTTCTGTTTCATGATTAGGATTTTAACCTTTTTAATATTAATACATTACTGAAAACACATGGTGTTTTATGTAAACTCCTCTTTCCTTTCATGGAAACGTTTTTCCACTCCTTCTAACAAATGTCAGATAAGTTACTATACTCTTTATAGTGACTGTATTTGTATGTGCTTCCACACTTCTCTTTTATAACCTGTTACACTGAACCAAACTACATTAGGGAAATTGGATTAAAAAAACCCAACAAGCAAACTGCTTTCTTGGGGCTGCCAGTTCTGGTTTTCTTCTTTATAGTAGTTGCTAGCAAAGTGTTCATTTCTCAGCCTGTAGTGTGATAGTAATAATAATACAAACTGAAATTCTACTGCCTTTGCTAGTGGCAAAGTTACAAATCACAGCCTCTTTTGGGTTTTGGTATTAATGAGGTTCTGCAAAGAGCTACATACTTTCTTTCTAGGATTCCCACAGCAAGACCATTTGGGATAAATTTAGTGTCTGGCTGCCATTATTATATTTGACAGGAAGATACAATTCACAGAAATGCTAGCCCCACACTTGCTGTGCAGATATGGCACTTACGATTCAACTAACGCTTACAGATTATGTAAAGTACAGGACATTTTGCCCTTAGAAAGTAGAGCGTATGGGTAGATGTTTTGGACATGTAACCACCCCTGAAGTGAATGGGATTGTTCTGCAGAAAACTGCTTTCTATGAATGTACTGGAGAGCTCAGCCTTGCACTGGACAGAGCCCAGAATCTGTCACTGACTCTGTATGAAAGACAGTGCATTTATGACCTGTATTTTGCCTGGAAGCCACACTTCAATCTCCTCTGCTTTTAGTGATTATTAGCCTCAGCTGTCCTGTCTGAATTGCTCCAGTGACTTCAAAGAGTGCTTTGTACTCTTTCTTACTCTGCTTGTTTATCCTTTCCCTTGTGCTATGCTGGAAGGCTGGGAAGTGGAACCCCTTGCACGTAAGTTTCTTTAAATTTCCTATGCAAAAGATTTATTCTGTGCAATATTGGTGTTTGTGGCGTTTTTCTTAATTTGTAGTTTCTGCTTAGTATTTTTGTCCATTGTTTGTGTTTATATATTTAAAGGAAGGCTATCTTTAAAGATGGTTTTTACTTCTTGCCTATGCATTGCCTAATACCGTTCAAACCCACTTCTATCCGTAGTGTCTGCGTCCTATTATGTTGCAACCTTTTTTACACATCTGTATTGGCAAGATAAGCAGCTGTTTTGTCACCATTCATGAAGCATACTTGAGAGCATAAGTCCTCTGCCTTGTAGTTCAAACAATTGCATAGAAGAAAATTTAGATTGTACAAGAGCAGAGTTAGATGCTCACAGTAAGACAGTGCCCAGCTTAAAGATGCATATGTACAACATATAAACAGGGTTCTTCTTCCTTCAGATCTTACTTTCTCACTTGCAACCCTGTTCTTTCCATTTCTGCAGTATAATAAGGAGTGTTTTCACAACACAGTGCAGATATCTTACAGTAGATCTTCATCCTTAATTATTGTTTTATTTTTGTGTTACTAGTATCCACCTTCGGAACAGCTCAGCTGATAAAGCAATTTAATTTGTAACTAATCCTGATCATCTATTTCTTATTTGCTGTTACGCTTAGGAGTTCTATAAACCTAGATATATATTTTCTACACTCCTTCTGTAGAAATTACTCCAATGGATTCTTTTGGGAATAAACAAAGAGAACTAAGTACTGCAAGATGTGTTGCATTCATATCAGGTTTTAAGTGCAAAGACCCTGATAAGGTGCTGCATTTTAAAAATAAAGAGAGCAGATCACATGTGCAATAGAAGTGGCTGCAGCATAGAATCTGCTCTTGATTGTTTGGCTTCGGGGCAAGGACCCTAGCAGAAAAATTTTCAACGAATCTAATATATGAAGAGAATGTAAGATGACGCAGAATTTTTTGATCATCTGGTCTGCTCTCATGTTGATCACAGGCACTCAGTACCCTGTGCTGGGCCCATTCTCTTCTGCGTGATAAAGGATAATTCTAAGTATATTTTTATATCCCTGACAGCTTTAATATAGTCCTTTATATAAAAGAGGCTGCAGTAATCTGTTAATTGAAGCTGTGTATGGAATCAAACTTCTGACCTCAGTTGAAGTCCAGTTTCATGGCTGTCAGAATTGCGGGCTTGCTAGACATTGACATTAAAAAAATTACTTATTAGGAGATATATGGGAACTGTGTGTTTCTTTTTTCTCTGTTCCCAAGTTGAATAGTGTCACTCAGGTGTTTTGATATTGCAAGGATGGTAGCAACATTGGGAGCCCCAAAGGCAAAAGGCTGTTTCTGAGGCAAGAGCTGGAGAACAAAATTGTCACAAGGGCTTTCTGGAGTAGAGGAGGATTACTGTAAGCAAAAAATTACATGCAGTGGCCTTGTTCTTCAGTTGTTTTGATTTATTTGTGAAAAAGACTCACCATGTGCTTTGCCCCTTTATTGTCCGTTCACTTTAGAAAAGTCAATTGTAATTGCCTGATGTGGCAACCAGCACAGCATGGATAGATTCTGAATGAATTAGGAAGCTCAGCTGTACAAATGGGTAGAAACAAGCATGGAAAGCTGCATCTTTAAAGCTGCGTGCAGCTTAGACTTCACATCTCTTTCAGCTGATGCTTTTTTTTACTTTGTCTGATGCGCTGTTACCAGTTCTGCAGATTTTCAAGATCAGACTGGGTAGAGCTCTGTGTGACCTTACCTGACTCCACAAGCTGACCCTACTTAGAGCAGGAGGTTGGGCATAGATTTCCTGAGGTCTCTTCTGACCTGAGTTATCCTACGATCCTACACGTTGGCAGTGCCATTGTTACCTCCCTGGGAAAAACATCCCATTAAAAACAGGGCAGGCAGGGCCTTTCCTTTGCAGGATTTTACTTTCTGTTGCCCTCGTTCACTCTCCTTAACCTGCCTGTTGTTGGCTTCCTCATGTTTTTACTTGTTTTGGGTGCATCTGACTGAATGGGATGAAGCAAATGCACCTCAGGGATTCTGAAGGGACTCAGCTCTCAAACTTAGTGATCTTCATCTATGACCTTCAAAGAGCTGTACAAAGGAAGAGAGTGGATTCCTTAACTTAAGGAACAGCCTTCACCCAGTAAATGGGTATAAAAAAGCAGGAAGGAAGTCAGCTGGAAATTATCAGGAAATTCCGAACAATTAAGGTCAGGCTGTTTCTGAAACAGCCTTCCAGTGACATGGATGGGGCAGACAGTTGAACTGCTCAAGTACGTTTGTGGTTCCTGTGACAGGGACTGAAATGGACTCTGTCCGTGACTTCCAAGCCCCATTCTCACCGCTTGCCTGAAGCCAGAGGCTGGAGTTACCTAGTGTGGCGAGTTATGTTTCAGCCATAACATAATCTCCTACTGCCAGCCCATAGCACTCTTCCCTGGAGCCATGTGGCCTCTATAGAAGTTGGGAGGTAGGGGGAAGGAATTTGGGTTAAATATTTTGTATTGTCAGGTCAAAGAGAAGCACCCCAAAGGAAGCACAGGAAATAAAGTTGTAGTAGGAGGGCAGAGGGGCGGAGGCTCGGTTGAATTTGAGAGCTTGGATTATTGGTTCCTTTAGTGTGTGCACAATGCTTTGCTTTGAGCACTGTGCCCTCACTTTGACGTACTACCTTCAATGCACTGGTGCAAAGTTCTCACCCTGCCTTTGCACATGGCATATATATGTACAGGCATCCGTGTTTGACGTGAGTCCAGGCAAAGGCAGAGTGTCAGAGCTGAGAGAGCCTTCAAAGCTCAGACTGAAAAATGCTTGAATTCTCTGATTCTGGCTTGAACCAAAAAGCTCAGTTGTTTTCTCACAATCACCTACTGCTTGCTTCTTTCTCAAATTCTACAGGTAGCAAAGGATGACCGAAGTGACATTGAGTCAAGCTCAGATGAGGAAGAAACAGTACCTCGTTCAAAGACCCCGCACAGCACTATCACCACTAATGGGACCGGCGGTGCCAATGGGACAAACGGGTATCTTACTGGTGGCACTTGCTCAGAGGAGCATTAATCCTTCAGTTCAATCACGACACACGAACAGAATGAACTGTTTGCTACTGGAAGTAAATTATAAGTTGTGAATGCGGTTTCTTCATATATCTCAGCGTCAGAAAAAATTAGGAGTATCAAAGCATTCTGATAGTGCACTGCCATATTTCCTGTTTGTGAATGAAGACAACACACCATTCTGTATACGTAGGCATGCTGTATGTGTATGTAACTGACACAATGGGAGCAGTATTTTCACTTGTACTGTCTTTGAAATATTATTTATTTTGTATTCTTTTGGGAACTTCTGGACAAAGGGAATATCCATGCTCAAACTTTATCTCTTGGGATTCTCAGTGGTGGAGAGCATCACGCTCAGATCTCTTCTGTCCATACCTGTTGCTTTTGCTGAGTCTGCTATAAGTAATAGTTGCTTGATTTGTTACTTACAGTAAGATAGAACATAGCTTTATAGATTCTAGATCTGCTTCAGATATTTTTGCTATCTTTGTGTTTTAAAGTACTGGTTTTGAAATTGCCTATCAAATCACAGTGGCCGTTCCTCCAACATGAAGTTTTAAAACACTGGATTGATATTTTAAATAGTAGGTAATGTGGTCGATTAGCAATTTGGGGAAAAATTGTGGTAATTGTGGGATATTATTTTAGCATAATTTAAAATTCAATTTGGTGGTTAATTGCATTAGAAGTAGACTTGATTAGTTGTGCAAATGCCCAAAAGCATTGATGTTAACAGTTTAGGATAAACTCACTCTCACTTTTTTTGTTTTGCCTTGCAATTTTTGACCTCTACAGATTCTTTTTGCAGAGATTCCATGTTGAAAGGTGTTTGTTCAAGTGCACCATTGTGAATCCAGATCTCACTCCTGAAACTGTTCTTGCATGTTCAGATGGATGAGAGCAGGGGTGTAATGAAAAAAAACAGCAGATGAAAAGTTCATTGCTTCCTCGGACACAGTTCAGTCCAGGTATCATTCTTAAAATGATTGCCACTTTCTTAGTAGGCTGAAGAGAGAGAAGGCAGAATGTCATACATTACTAGAAGTAATTTATTTCAAATGCATGAAAACTTCAGCAAAATTCACTTAACATAATTCATAGCAAACTCTGAATGCTCAGCAGTTTTTCATCACCTCTGGTAATAAAATTAAGGGTGTTTATAAAATAATTTTGCTCTCCTTTTTCAGCTAACAGACTGTGTCCCAAAGAAGACAAAGTAACACCCAAAATAAACATATTTTTTAACATTGTATACACACTTCTTCCAGTCTCTAGATCAAAGTTTGATGTAGGATGCTAAGGATCATACAACTCTTGCAAGACACTTTTCTGTGATATGTGACAGCAGTGCCAAAAGTAGGCGAGGTTCTTGGGTAACAGACTCTATGCAACCTACTGTTCAACAGTATTGTGTATGTGCACACAGAACCAATGTGCTTATAGACCAAAGACTTATATATATTAAAAAAAAAAAAAAAAGAAGAAAAAAAAAAAAGAAAAAAAAAGAAAAAAAAGGAAGGAACAAACCAGGAAAAAGATGTGTGTCGTCTTACATACAAAGGGATTGGAGTGCCATGTTCAGCTGGAACTCTAAGCCAGGAAATATTTCTGATTCCTTCCACCTATGCAAATAGTAGAATATAGATGGTTTCTGATGCCATAAAACATGTTTAAAGGCTCTATTTTTTACAGACTCCATTGAAGAAAGTTGTGTTGCCACTTCTTTCTTTTGAAAAACTGAGATTTGTCCTATTCTACTGGTCAGTCTTGAAAGCTTATGAAACCTTTATTATCCATAGGGACCCTTGCGTGTTAGCAAAAATATGCTTAAAGTAAGGGCAGAGTGGCACAAATGAAAATAGTACCTCCACTTATTAGACCATAAAGGTAAGAAAACTGAAGAATTGTAAAGATTGTAGAAGAGCTGTCAGTTTTACTACCCACAGAGCATCTTTTGAAAAAGCCACGTAACCCTGTAATTCAGCAGCTGCCTAGCTTATATGTCCATGAATATATCTGAGGGAGCAAGGGAGTCTTATTTAAATCCTTTCCCCCAAAAGCTTCTCTGCCTCTAATTTTTCTCATCTGTCTCCTGTACCTCTGATTTCGTAGACTTAACTGCAGAGCAGGTTATACATGTGAAAATACACTGATTGGATTAGAAATTAACCCATCCACAGTATTTGAAGTGGCAGTTGTTTAATTAAATTACTGTCAAGATGATACCAAGATTTTAAAACAAAATCATCCTGGGATGTACTGAATGGACCTTATAATTTCTGAAATCTGACCCACTGAGATGGTCATTGAGAATAACAGTTTAAACACACCTCTTTCGTGGTGTTGATTACTACCTCCACTGGACCATTTCCCTTCTGCAAAGTTGGTTACAAAAATGGCATTCTGGCAAAATATTTTGTCTTACATGAGGGCAGTATGTTGCTCTGAACTATCAACGTACACAACATACAGTAGTACTGTAATGTTGATATCAGGACAGAGAGCAGTTCCCAAAAACAATCACTGTGCAAGAGGCAGGAGACCTTTGGTCTCTGTTGGTCCTCCCCAGCTGTGCTGTATAGTGTTGATTCAGATGAGCAGTCAAGACTACAACCCTTGAGATGATTCACCGTCGCTGGCTATGTATGCTCTTAGTGTACCCCCACAGTTTAAATAATGCAACTTGGACTCTTCCTTTGAGGTTTAAATTCTGTTGCATATATGATGCACTAAAGCATGTATACCATTACCATGGTTCAGCTGATGCCCAGTGACTTACTTATGTTGTATAAACCTGGCTTTTTGGAGTCCATTCTTAGCAGTCTAGAATAAACTTAATACAGATATGTCTGGAAAGTAGGTGAGATGAGAGATTGCAATTGCGCATTTGCGGAAAGGGGTAAGACTAAGGAAGCATTGAGAACTTCACTAAACTTTGCTGAACAATCACTGAACTTTCAAACTACAGTTTTTTAATGGAAATTAAAAATTCACACAATTTTTGCTGCTTTTAGTGGGAAGGACCAAGTGTTTTAGTGATCATACTTGGCAGTGTGTTTTGATTCATTGCTTTAACCAATGGATGTCAAAACTTTGGCTTCATCTTCTACTCTGCAGAGGGAATGTTGTGCAACTATTTGCTTTTTTATTTGAACTTGTTTGTTTCTCTGCTGAAGAGCTTTGCAAGGTCCTTTTGGAGGCCATCAAATATTTAGAGGATAATCACACATATTCCAGAAAATGGATTGAAATGATTCCATGGCTCGTGGTAAATGGGAGATCTTAAAAGGTTCTGTATATTCGTACCTTTTGTAGAATTGTCATTTTAGTCATTTTAGAAAGGAGAATTTGTACTCTATAACCTATTTGTCTTCAACTTCTATGCTCCCTTTTTATAGTACCGTACACAACACAGTGGTTGAGATGTTGAAGTAGAAAAATGAGGAAATGATATGTAGAGTTTATTAGTAAATAGTAAGAATTTGTCTTCTCTCCCTAAACAGCCCAGAATATAGTAAAATAAGATTCAGGTCTCCTTTTGTTTATTGTTTTCCATACTGGCATATTTTGTACCAAACCAAAAATATATGGTGGGGTGTTTTTTTCATAAAAACCTAAAAACAAACATGGCAGAAAATGGTAGAAATATCTGGTCAAACAAGGTTGGCCATTGGAATCTTGGATCTTGATCAATGTTAGATAGCGCTAGTTCTAAAATACCAAAGTGTCCCGTGCTGTTTCCTTGTTGCCATTTTGTAGTTTTTTTCTATGTGTTATTTATTTAATGATTCCAGCAGAATTGGAACAGGTGTCGCAGCTCCAAATACTTGTTTCAGCCTGTGACCATTCTGTGTGATTGCCAATGCCAAACCCTTTTTCTGAGCCCCAAATACACGCACTAAAGCTTTGCTTACAGTGATGTGATTCTTGTCTTGAATCTGTATCTGTTTTGAGTGAAAATCATTTTCTGATTCTGAACAGGATACAATGGCGAAAGCCGTTACCCTGCAGCAAAACGTCAGTGATGATCAACGTGGGTTGATTTAGACACCGCGTGTGTTTTATGCAGAGTATTCTAGTAGGAAGCCTAGTGCCTGTTTCATTCGTCTTCTCATTACTGCAGCCTTCCGTATTCTCAGACAAATATGGGCTACCATTGGTTTTCTACAGTTGATGCTTTGGTATTTTTTTAATCTCTTTGCTACAACTCATTTTTGTACGTCTCCTATTGTCTACTTCTTGTGACATTTGTGCGAGAGGAGCTATCGAATACTTTTTACCCTTCCTGTAATGTAGACCCTATTAGGCCTAACGTCAGTGTTCTGCGTACTACAGTTGCCTTTAAACCATAAAGCGAAACCAGTTTGTATTACTTGTTTTGACTGGTTTTGATTTGAACAGGGATCTAATGGGAACTTCAGTAAGACAACCTTATTCTTTTTTTCTTTTCTTTTTAAAAAGCACTAGTGGAAGTTTGGAAAAGTGGTGTACATGTATAGCCTTTAAATTGTAAAGATTTCTGATTGTAGTTGCGATGAAAACACAGTGTTTGAGTGTGTCTGTACAGAATTCTCAGTCTTTGAAATTGCTTTCAATTAAAAAACTGGAGGAAATACTATAAAATGATGTTTTGGAGCCATGTCAATGATCACACATGTCAGACAAAAGACAAAAATGATGACCTAAAATTATCTGTGCAACAAAACACATTTTCTGGCTTCTGTTGAGCTTCAGCTTCTTGCAGTCCCGGGGTTTAACTTCTATACGCAAGCTCTCATACCATACTGTGCATGTTGACTACCTGTTGCAAGTCAGGGTGAGGCAGATGGCACTATTTCACCTGTGTTTTCATGACAATCCTGTGCTTGAGCAACTCTTTCAGAAATGCAGTGATGTGTAGGAACTCCACTGTCCCAGACACAGTGATGTGCTAGCTAGAAGTCCTTTCATGTATAGCTGTTGTGTGGAACTTTGGGAGTTATTTTGTGTTTAACTCTGTTG